GCTTTTCCAGAAAAGCCCTTTTTCTGGAAAAGCGTCTGTGGCCAATGTAGATGCGCTTTTCCGGAAAAGAGCCCCGATCGCCATTTTCGCGATCGGGGCTTTTTTCCGGAAAAGACTACTGGGCTGTCTACACTGGCCCTTTTCCGGAACAGTGTTCCGGAATAAGGACTTATGCCCGAGCGGGAGCAGAATAGTTTTTCCGGAATAGCAGCTGATTTTGTACAGTAGAGCATCGTTGCTTTTCCGGAAATTCAAGGGCCAGTGTAGACAGCTCGCAGCTTATTCCGGAAAAGCGGCTGATTTTCCGGAATAAGTGGCCCAGTGTAGACACAGCCCAGGTGAACAGCAACTGTCAGTTGACTTTAAGTGCTGAGCCTCTTGGAGGGCGGAAGGGGACTTCACGGGCTCCCCCCTGCCCTCAAGTCTTGAATGGCCTGGGAGCAGGGTGTGTGCGCGAAGTCTCCTCCCACCTGGCCCTTATTGCTGTCCTTAGAAACTCCACATACTCCTGGCATGGTGGGAGGAGACTTTGTGCACTCCCTCCCCCACCCCCAGGACAATGAGGCCTCCTCCTTCTAATCACCATGCTTTCCTTGCAGGGCAGGGCGGGAGGAGACTTTGCTTGCTTCTCCCTGCCCCCCACCCTCCTCCCTGCACTGATTGGCCTTAGGGGAGGGGGCAGCAGTAGGTCTTCCACGAGCTAGATTAACTTGCTCAGCGGGCCAAATCTGGCCCATGGAGTCCCTTTTGCCCACCCCTGATGTAATAAAATGGGACTAAATTAGCTGTTACCATTTGAGAGAGAGATTTTGGAGTCATGGATAGATCTCTGCAAACATCTACTCTGTGCAGTAGCAGTCAAACAAACAGAATATTAGGAATTATTAAGAAAGGGTTAGATAATAAGACAGAAGATCTTAAGCTTCTATATAAATCCAAGGTATGCCCACATATTGAATAGTGTATGCAGATATAGTCTCTTTTTGGCATTGGAAAAAGTTCAGAAAAGGGCAACACAAATTATTAGGAGTAGAATGGTCATAAGAGGAGAGATTAATGAGACAGGGACTCCTCAGCTTGAAAATGAGACAACTAAGGGGGCATAAAATCATGATTGGTGTGGAAAAAAGTGAATAAAAAGGAGTTATTTACTCCTTCCCCTAACACAAGAACTAGGGCTCACTACATGAAATAATAGGTAACAGGTCTAAAACAAAAGGAAGCACTTCTTCACACAACGCACAGTCAAACTGTGGAAGTTCTTGCCAGAGGATGTTGTGAAGGCCAGGACTATAACAGGGTTAAAAAATAACTAGATATATGCATGGAGCATAGGTCTGTCAGTAACTTGTTCTGTTCATTGCATCTGGGCACCTGACACTGGCCACTGTTCAAAGACAGGACATTGGGCTAGCTAGATTGACCTTTGGTCTGCCCCAGAATAGCCATTTTTATGTAAACCTTACCTATGCGAGTAATCCTTATTTGTATAAATATGTCCATTGATACTCACATGAGTTGAACCCTATGCAGGTGCAATATTTGTATCCACAGAAATGGTCTGTCGATATCTGCACATTTGCACGAATGAGAGTAAGTTTGGCAAAATCAGACTCCTACCATGCATAGACCAGTGGTTCTTAAACTTTTTGGGCTCCAGAGCTCTTTACGTGCATAAAAATGTATGCAGGCCCCAGCAGTCCACTGATTGCATGTATTGTACCTATCAATGTTTCCAGTTTGTCAACCTCGCAGAGCCCCTGGAGATGTCTTGCGTAGCCCTGGGTCTCCACGGAGCACAGTTTGAGAAACACTGCATTAGACTGTTAGGTAAAGAACTTTGTAAATGTGTTTGTATTATCATAGTGCTTAGAAGCCCTACTCACAAACTTGGATTCCACTGTGTTTGTATTCCACCTAGATCAGACTAAAATTGGCATATCCCTATTAAGTGCTTTTCACACTGAAGTTTATATCAGCACTGAACTCTCCTGCCCTGTGTAAGTACAATGCCCATTTGATAAATGTGAGCTCCTGTTGCAGGGTACAATAATATTATGCAATTTTTAAACATTCTATATAAAGAACAGTTTTAAGAATGTATATTTCAAAGGACCTTTTAAATACAACATAAATCTCTATAAAAGTTAATGAAAGGAGAGTAAAGACTGCAGCTTACTCCTGTTCCCATTCAAGTAAATGGAAAATCATCTATTGATTTGAATTAATGGTTCTTCCCTGCATTGTGCACATGCAGGGAGACTAGCTCAGAATAAGAAATTTTAAATTCATATATGCAATTGCTTTGCTTCCATGTGTTTTGAAAAAAATGTGTTTTAAATCACTATTCAAATGCATAAGGTACTTCTACAAAGTAAAAAACCAGCACCTGGCTAATGCATTGGAACTAGACTATGCAAAGTAGTTAATGGAAAGTATATTACTTTATTTGAAGGTTTTATTGGCCAAGATGAGTAAAATGCAAGAAGTAAAGCAGTATAAAATGGTGAAATATTTACAGAATAGCTTAATACTTGTAGGAAAAGAAAGCAAGCTACAATGGTACTTTCTAGCTAATGTAATTTCTAGCTAGGTAAAGCATAGTTTTAAAAGCTTTCAACTATGACAAAATGTGCAACAATTGTTATATGCAGTTCTAGCTGAACCCGCATTCCATTATAAGTACATCCATCCTGTGGGAGAAAAGGAGCTTTATTGTCTCTATCTGTGGAGAAGAGAACAGAGTTAGGAGGGACCAGCCTACTATCATTCAAACTGTATCACAGGATTCTATCCCATATCATATTAAAAGCTGCTATTTGGCAACTTCTAAAAATTACTGATTAATCCACTTGATCCTTGAGTCTGTTTGGGGTAGAAAGGCTACTTATTGGTGTGCTGGCAGGAAGAGGGCAGATCCCCAGCCCTGCAGCCCCTTTGGACACTCTTCAGGATCACTCTCCTCTGCGGGCTCTCTGCCCCCAGTAGCCATTCTCATATTGCATCCCTCCAAACAGCAGCCCCTCCCTTTCCCCTATTCTGCAGTCAGAAGCAGCTGGGGGAAGGGGGGGAGAACCAGAGAAAAAAGCCCTGTTAGATGGGACTCTCTGCCCTAAACCCCTCTCTACCCCTTCCCCTCCCCATATCCAAGGGCTTGCTCGGAGTCCCACACTCCCCCACACTGCCATCCCCCTACCATGAAGGAACTGGACAACATTGAGTAAGTCTGTAGTATCAAATATTTATATTCCAGTAGTCCCTACAAGCCTCACTGTGCTAGATTTTGTACAGATATTAAAAAACAGGCCCTCACCCAAAGATTTTACAGGCTTGGTTATGGTGAGGAAGGTAATAAAGAAACAGGGCGAAGCTGACAAGATAACATATTTGATAGTAAAGCTTAGTTGCTAAGTTTTCATTTATCTCCACAATCAATCCAAATATGATTGATATATGTTCACCATTCTT